TAAAAAATAAGGCTGGTATGTTGTATCAATACAGTCTGTTAATGATAACTGATTGAGACAGCGGTCGGATATTTTGTCTCATCATTTGTACATTATTCTTTGACATTATCATTTGAAGCACTTTATGGCATTGAACTAACTAACTATTTTTCTTTATAGGATACATGGCACAAACGCACATCATACCAAAAATCGAACATTTAATCAAGCACTATCATTATGAAACATTATCTATTACCTTTTTTTCTCTTCTTTTAATATCTTTTAGTTAGTTTGGTTTTCATTATATACTCAACTATTTATCTTTCTTCTTTAATATTCTTGAAAATTTTGTCTTTTTTTTCAAAACTCTCAATTTTAATAAATTATACACACGAAAAACATATCATGATTGTTAGCATCTCGAGTACCATCTCAAATATTTACAATAATCATAACTAACGTAGAGGGATAACAATACCAATGTTATTGGTAGATATTGGTATTGGGTGTGGGTGTTTAAAAAACAGACTGATCTGTTTATAAATATTAACTATATTTAACGGCAAAACTTACATATGATTCACTGTATGGCAGCGGCGATAAATAGTTTCATTTTAAAATATATTTAAAATTTTTTTTTCAGCGTTTTGACACTTTTGATTTCAGATAATTTTACATACTTTAATTTTCTACATATAATCGATCATCGTGAGACTATCAAAAAAAAATAGATATAGAAGCATTAATCTGTAATCTATTCGTATGTTGGACATCTTGTTTGCTTTATATATCTTTGAATATGTACGACTTTATTGTGATTGTGATAAGGTGAAATAAAATATTCGATAAATCTGCTTTTTATTGTGATAATTGTTAAGTTACATAAAAGAGGAAACATGTATTAGACAAGAGAAAGATCATTCTTCATGCTGATATTTACACATACACATACTTCAGAACCGGGAGTGAGAAAAAGGATAAGAGACAGAGACTCTATCAACGAACACAAAAAAAAAAAGAGAGAGAGACAAAGAAGTCAGATTATCACAGTTAGTACTAAAAAAACATATTTGCCTAGTAAAAAAAAAGAAAAGAAAAAGAATCATTCACGAAAGATTACACTACATAAGACAAGATCTTTCTAAGCGACATATACATATTCCGATATATTTGTTTCTGATCTTGCCATATATCTATGATCAATTAACCATTCAATCATTTCTTTAATTAATTTTTTTGATGGTACAAACATATTTTTAAGTATTTCAATTAATTCTGTTTGTAATTGAGCATTATTCATACGTTGTCGAGTTTTCATTATTTGTACAATGGCTTCTTTCGTACGTTCACCACGTAAAAACATAATTTCTTCATTTTCTTCTTCACGTCCTTTTTCTGTATTTAACTGTAGACGTTGAATCATATTAATATGACCACGTGTTTGAATTTTACCAGCACGTATTATTGTAAAATCATAATTTATCCAAAATAAACTTATATCATTTAAATCTTGATGTGTTTGTACATGTGGTTCATAACATATTAATTGTTGTTTTAATTTAGCAAATGATATTAATGACCATAAAGTTTTTTTTAATTCATTTTCAGGTATATTTGTTGCTAATTTAAGTTCACTAAATGTTAATTTATTTATTGGTCGATGATTCCATGCAAAAAGTATAGATGCTTGTAATGTTGAAACATCAAGATCATATTTACCAGTTTTTGAAGCAAATGTTAACTAAATTATAGAATTAAAGTTTTTTCTTTTTATAGAATTTTGTTTTTCTTCAAAAATAATTACTTGTCCATTTGATACTGTATGATACCAAGTTAATTTTCTTCCTGAATGTTTTTTCTTATAGAATTCTTCAATTTCAGGTAGAACATCTTCAATTTGTGCTGGTAATGAAACATCAATTTTATCACCCGGATGTGGCCATGCAGCGGCACTTAGAATTTTAAATGAAAATGAATCTAAATAAAAAAATAGAAAAAAATATCTTTTAATGAATTTCTTTTTAATTTACCCATCATTGTATTATTGTTACGTGACGACGGACAAACAGTTCGAAATTCTTCATTCATATCACGATTTAATTTAAGATCTTTAAACATTTGTTGTAATTTTAGAATAAATTCAGCTGGCATACCAACATCCTATGAAAAAAATAATAAGATTTAATATATATCGACTAATTAACCATAAGAAAAATAACAAACTAAAAGACTTATTAGAACTTTTTGAATATTCATGAGACCTTCGAAATACTATAAACCAAAATCATTATTTTCTTTCTGTAGTATAGTATTTATTCGATAAATTATAATAGATGTTATATTATCTAGCGAAGAAATATTATGCAAATTCATCTTCTAGCAAACAACAGTCTAAAAATAGTTTCCAATTATTCTATAATTATCATGTTTTTTTTATTTAACATCTACTTGATATAGAAATTGATTTTTTAAAACAAAAGTTTATCATCCGATATATTCTTCTATAACTGAGTACTTTAGAAATTGATTCTGAATAATTTAAATGATTTGCTTCACACTTTTTCTTTGTATATATGTTAATGTTCATAATATGAATATTCTTGTGCGAAGTTTCATTAAAAATACTTATGATTACCCATGAGAAACAAAAGGTAAAAAGAATATTCATAAGAAAAAATAGAATTAATCATATACTATTCAATTATATCAATCAATCATCTATGTTTTAAAATAAATATATCTTACTCTTAATTGAATAACAATGCTTTCTTCAAGTTCATTATCAATTGATGTATCCAAAATAAGACGCCGTGTTAAAGATCCTTTATAAAATCTCATAAATACATCTTTATTTTGTACATATTTTAATAATAATAACTAAATTATAATATTAAAAATAAGAAGAAGAAAAACTTGAGTATTTTTTTCTTACCACATCTTTAATTTTAACTTCGATTTCTTCTGATGAATATTTTTTATGTGTCGATGTACCTTTCCGTAAAAGTATATCACAATATTGGGCTAATAATTCAGGACAACGTGATTCTGCAAGAGTTGTTCGAGTTGCTCTATAAAAAAGACATATATATATATAAAACTCAAAAACAATCAATATTTATTTTACCCTCGTGTAGCACGAGCTGGCATGTCAAGTTGAAAGACTGAAATATCATTAATAATTTTTTGAAAAGCTATTATAAAATAAAAAGAGCATTAAATAAATTTAAAAATCAATGGCTAACTATATATATATTATAGTAACCTTTATCACGAGATGTAAGAAATCTTGGATCATTTAGAAAAGCATCACGAACAAGATTTGAAAATTGCCGATAAAGATCTAATAATTGTTGAACATAACTTTCCGGATCCTAATAAATAAATAAATATTTTTATCTTGTTTTAATCAATAAACAAACTTGTCTGATTGTATCTTTGTTTTTAAGCATATTATCAAGACCTTGTTTAACAATAAATAATTCAAGAGCTTGTGTTAACGAAGTTATATCTCCGGTATGATCAAGAAGTACAAATATAAGACGTAAACCTTCAAAA